ATCTTCAGCTAAATGTTTTCTTTTACAACCATCTCCTACGGTGAAAAGAAAGAAATTGTTATGAGCTAGTCTTCTCAAGTTCATGAAGGTATACTTTGTTGAAAAGATGTTTACAAAACAAAAGCTGCAAAGTTTGCTAGCATGTTTCTTTGATCCGAGAACAAACGAGTGTCTTACAGAAAAAGAATATCAAGAAGCAGAAAGCAAACTTATGAAAAAAATTTGCAAAGTCAGCACTCCGACAATATTCTCGAAGATCAACGCATACAAACATTTGTTTGCAAAATGAACAAAATTATTCGAGAAGTGGTTAGTTATAAACCTAAAATTTATGTTTGTTAAAAAACATTTGTTTTTAAATTTTTATAAAAATTTTACTTTTTTTACATTTTCAGTGTTGTTAAAAAATAGATTACATTTCAGCTAATATAAATACTTGTTTTCATTTTTAGATATCATTGATTCAAGTAATGATGTTCAATTTCGTGTTTCACCTGAAGTTTCTGTTAAACGCAAAAATGGGTTTGCTAAGCTTGCAACATTGTGTGGTTTTAACCTGTGCGATGAAAAAACACAGTCAGAGCGAAATATAAAAGAGGAGTTATCCTTTTTCAATTATACTATAAAAGCAAAAACTTGGAAATTCGATGAATTTTGGTACAAGTATGATATTCCAATGTTAGCCTCTAAAGCAAGAGAGGTATTTACTTCATCTGCTAGTTCGGTACGGCCAGAATCCTCATTTAGTGTTGCTAACTTTATTCATTGCAAAGAAAGAAGTAACTTAAGCTCGAGAAACTTGCGGTACTCGATGCTACTTAAAGAGAAGAATTGAAATTTTACTTTAAAACTTTGTATTTAACTGAAAATGAGGAAAAGTATTTTAACCAGTATTTTAAAAAGTATTTTGCTTTTTTGAACCATCCTACTAAATTCGTTATATTAAACAAATTAAAATAAGCGGTTGTTGTAGTTATGAAAAGTTATAAAATTACTTTTACTATTTTAACTTTAACTTTTTTAATGTTATTTACATCAGTTATTTAAATATTTTTTTTAAAAGATTGTCTGGTTTATTGTTCTTGCTTTGGAAATGGCTCTGCATTTTGCAATTTTGTTCTAAGTTTTGCATTTTGGCTTCTTTTATTCAGCGTGGTTGTTGTTAAAAACCAATCTAACCAAAATCAAAGTTATTTCTTGAAATGACTAACTAGAATAATTGTTAGATAATAGAATAATAAAGGAATAATTAATGTCTGGAATAGACTATTTTAAATTAGTTAATTCCAGACAACAGTTTTATAAATAGATATTAATAAATAAACAAAAACAAAAACAAAAAATTTCATTTCTGTTAGAGTGGTTGTTACGACCAGGACCAGGGTGGTGAAGGGGTATCACACCTCAAGCTGTTATATATGCATTTAAGTTAGCGCATTAGCGTTAACAACAACCACACTGATTAAGAGAAGCAAAAAGCAGCAGCATAGCTACAAATATGCACGATACTTTTATGGTAAATTTTTATCAGGGCCATTAACTTATTTCTTCCCGACAAAAAAATTAATACTAAAACAAATAAACCAAAAAAAAAAATGCCTTTTTAAAGGTTTTTTGCAAAAATCATTCTTTCTAAAAAGTTAAAGACCTCAATTATTAGAGAAAAACAAAATATTAGAGAAAAAAATAAAGGGTACAACCTTTTTTGCAGGAAACAAAATTAACATGCAATTTCATTGGGACTACCCAAATGCTGTCATGATAAAGTTAGATCAAAGTAAAGTCTAAAAGATAAAGCAAAATAATTATAAAAAAAAAAGATTCCAAAAAGTGGAGTTTTTCGGTTGGCTTTTACAACAATTTTAAGATTTACTTTTATTAAATTTATACATGCTGGAAGTTTCAGAGCTCTAGCTAGTCCGGAAGGTAGTGAAAAATCAATCGCAAGATTCCGGGACAACTGATAGCCGACAAACATCTTCTAAAGACAAAATAAAGTTTGAAAAAAAAAATTACAAGTTTATTCTAAAGCGCTATTTTAATTGAATAAGATTTTAATTGTCCTATTGTCCTTGTGCGGGTTGGACACCAACGCAACAAAAAGTAGGTTATTAGGGTGCCCACAACCTATATTAGAAGATTAAACAGCTTTTCTTACCATCTTTTTTCAAATAGAAATTTCATTATATATGATAAAACGCAATAAAATTTCATTATATATGATAAAACCCAATAAAAGATTATATCTGATAAACACTCCTTTAATCATATAAATTATAACTTATAGTTTAAATGACTTATAATTTTCTGAAAACTGTTGTAGCAGTCGATGTCCTTGCGGGTACCAAAAATATTATATTGCGTCATATTACCATAACAAAATACTTGATTGAAAAGACAAATACAAAGAAAAAAACTGGAGAAAAAGCGCGCTCTAACGAACAGTGACTTAGTCAGGGTTTACACATGCATGAATTACCCATAGCTAAGAAATTATACTCCCTTCCTCCCCCTACAAAGTTTCATTATGGCCACTAACCTATTTCTACTTAACAAAAAAAAAAAAGAAATAAAAAATCAATGATTATTTACCAGCTTCTATTAGCACTCATGCACCGAGGTTCCCGTCTCTACACTACTGTTATTCCCGCATGACTATATTTGCCTCTAATTATAATAGAACTACCCTTTCTGGTATACGTGAAAAAAATTTTTTTCCTGATGCCCCACCACATACTTGCCCACATACCTGAAGTAGTACCCAGAAGTGCCCTCAAACAGAAAATGGATTTGAATACGCTACCTAATCTCAAAATTTACGTTAAATCAACATTAAATGACTGTTCTTTAAAAAAGTAAATAATGTAACTTACATTTGACTTACTTACAAAGTAAAGTATAAAATTTCAAAGAAAAAATTACTTTTATTTGTAAAAGTAAATAACAATTTTTTTCAAATTACTTTTATGTAAGCTAATTTATGCTAATTAGTTATTTTTACACGTAAAAGTAATTTGTTGTTATGATGTAGTTTTATTTTACTTGGTAAAGTTAGTGTTATGTTTTTTTAATATTAAATTTACGTAAGTTTACTTCATAAATAACTTTTTATATATATATATATATATATATATATATATATATATATATATATATATATATATATATATATATATATATATATATATATATATATATACACATATATATAAATGTCGAACAACAATCGATCGATTAGACTAACACAGTATCCTTAAAGGCATACTCACTGGCTTACTTAGCCAGTTACAACAAAACATTCAAACTACATTCGCCATTCCTTTCAAAAAGTTATTTATATTTTGCACTTTGCAGTTTTTGTTTAACTGTAAATAAGTCAGATAAATCAAATCAATATTAACATAACTAAAAACTAAAATTATTATAAAAAAATTATCCAACAAGTTAAACTGCTTAGAGATTATTATTAAATGAAAATATTTTATTATACTTTCCCAGTGGGCATTTCGACGTCGAACGAACGTCGAGCGACGTCGGATCTCGACGTCGGATCGACGTTGGGTTTACGTTGGAAATGGAAATGTTATTTGACGTCGGATAAACTGACATCGCGAGACATCGGCATTCCGATGTAAATCCAACGTGTTTTTTGAAAACTAAAAAACGTTGTCTTAGGCAGGAATCGATCCTCGGTCTACTATTAACAAAATCCTACGCGCTTACCACTACGCCACAGCGACATATTAATAATCAGTTTATTTAGAAATTCATACTTGTAGCTATTTGGAAATTATTACTTTGATAAGAAATAATTTTGTTTAAATATTATATAAATATTAAAACGAATAGTTATATATTATAAAAAATGTATACTCGAAAATGTTAATAGTTAAAAAACTATGCTAGTGCATCATACAAAACTTCATGATGTTTTATCAACCATTATTCAAACTTCTTTCCATTAATAAAAAACACGCTTAGTTCACATATTTATTGAAGAGCGCAATTGCACACATATTGTTGGGTTTGGATTAAATTTTCATCAGCGATGTCTTACGACGTTGTTCCGACGTCGTTTTAAGGACGTTGGATTGACGTCGAAAGACGTCAAAAGACATCGAAGTACGTTAATATTATGACGTTGCCCGACGTCTTTTTATCGACGTTGGATCGATGTCAGTACTGCGACGTTTTTTGGACGTCTATTATAGGATGTCGGAACAACGTCAAAATACATCGAAACGACGTCAGGGGATGTTGAGATAAAGACATCGCCCGACGTCATTTTACTGACATCGGAACAACGTCGGAATAGGTCTTTTGACATCGCTGATGAAAATCGTACGTAAATCCGACGTCGGATTGACGTCGGGTGCCCACTGGGTTGTACTAAGTTGGTTGAATATTGCAACAAAAAAGTAAAAAATGCAGTAAAAAAGAATACTCTTATGCTAAAATTTTCCCTATTTTTTAAGTATAAATATGCAAATATATGCATTTAAACAGTTTATATATGCAAATATATGCACTTATACAGTTAAAAAATGCATAGGGTAGAGCGGGGTAATAAGATCGGCGGGACAATAGGATCTTTTTTAGCAGCGCCAAAACTAAATTTCTTTATGCTACTGTGGAAATAACAAATTACTAAGTTTTACATGATATATGTTTACTTAGTTCGTAAAAGAGTAGTCTAAAATTTTTATTGGACTAACAACTAATTTTTTACCATTATTAATTTGATTTCAATATCAATGTTTTTTACGGCAGTTTTTTATTTTGTTTAAAGTTAATGAAAAACTTTGCCGTAATCGGTGCTCATCAGTTTTTACTTAAAAAGTCTATACCTAAGTGTTTGTTTTTAAATTTTTTTGAAAGTAAAGCAGAATCTAATTTTAGTAAGTACTATTATAAAGTTATACATTATATATAAGCAACATTTAGACATAAAAATAATAATTTAAATCTCATATTTATTTTAGTAAAAATCATCGAGTCATATAGCCTTTCAATGAAGGCTTAGACATTTTCAATTTATACCTTTGAAAATACCTTACACACAATTTTTTTTTATTTTACTAGTAAAGGTAAGACTTATTTGAGATGCTTGTTGCAAAAAAATTTATTTATTTGTTTACTTAAAGCATAAAATTTTTACTTTAAAACAAGTAGGTTAATGCCCTCCCTGACTAGTAAAAAATGGCAAAACTCTTTAATAAATTTAAATCAGCTATAAATTTCATAATATATAGTTAAAAAAGTATGAAAAAAAATGCTAACAACGTTTTAATATAAAAAAAATAATTTTAAATGTATTTTTGAAAATTATTATTGTTTTTTTTTTTAAGAATGGTTCGAACATACAAAAAGTTGAAGCAGAGAGGAAGGAAATCCTACTTAAATAGTCAGGAAATGATAGATGCCTACAGTTCTGTTTTGAATAAAGAAATGTCGATAAGCCAAGCATCAAAACATTTTAGGTGTGATAGGAGAGCTCTTTCGAAAAGAGTGAAAGGTGAACTATCTGTTGACTCTCACCCAGGACGCAAAACAGTTTTAACTTCATAGCAAGAAAAAGAGCAGTCAGATTGCCTAATTTTAATGGCTGATTGGGGATGGGGTTTCACTAGAGGTGAAGTAAAAGATTTAATACAAGATTTTCTCAGAACAAACAGTATTGAAACACCATTTATAGATTCTCGACCAAGTAAAGACTGGTTGCATGCCTTCTTCCAAAGAAATCCCAAAATTACTCCAAGAAAAACTGAACACTTAAGTAATTCAAGAAGCCATGCTGAAAATCCTGAAACTTGGTTCAATTTAGTAGAAAAAACATTTAAAAAAGCAGGAATTATTAACCTTCCTAATCAAATCTATAATTCTGATGAATCAGGGTTTGTCACAGACCCAAAGGAGCAAATCGTATTAGCAAAACGAGGTGCTTCTCGAGTGTCGCAGAGCATTGGTGGATCAGGCAGGGAGCAGATTACTGTAAATTGTGCATGCTCTGCTAGTGGACAGGTATTGCCACCATATGTTATATACAAAGGAAAAAACTTGTATATGGACTGGGTTAAAGGTGGTCCTGATGGAACTGTTTATACTACCAGTAGTAAGGGCTGGATGGAGTGCCCCCATTTTTTAGAATGGTTTCTAAACATATCTCTAATTTATACAAAGCATCTTGCGAACCGCCCACGTGTACTTATATTTGATGGCCATATTTCTCATGTTAGCTCCCCACTTATTGATTTGGCAAAAAAAAATATTATTATTCTCCTACGCATTTCTGCATATCTTACCCATCTTCTTCAACCTTTTGACCTGTAAAAAGTAAATGGCAAAGTTTGCTTATAAAATATGCAAGAACACATAATGGACCAGTGTCAAAAAAACATTTTCCAGGGCTACTACGTTCCCTTTTTCAGAGTTCCTTTACTATGGAACAAGTCAAAAGTGGTTTTAAGGGAACTGGCATTTTCCCTTTTAACAAAGATGCTATTGACACACGCCTATTTAATCAGTGTTTTATGTTACCAGAAAAAAAAACTACATTCTCAACTAATCATCTTAAAAGATCATGCTCAATGCCTAACCTTCATTGCATTTGTGTTAACGATGCTCCCATTTCAACATCAGTATCATCTGCTTCATCATTACCAATTTCTACGTCGACTTCCCCTATCAAAGATTTTTTTCTTAAACAATTACAATCCAAATGTGTAGAAACCTCTCATCGTTTGAGGTCTGCACGAGTTTTAAGATTTACAATCTACAAAAAAAAAAATAATAAAGAAAAAAAGACAAAAAAAAAAAAAGACAGAAAAAATGATTTTGATTATGATGAGAGCAACAACACTCTATGCCCTAATTGTGGTGGATGTGGAAATATAGGTGATCAGTGTGTGTGCTGTGATGTTTGAGACATCTGGTATCATTTAAAATGTACTACGATAACTGAATTAGATAATGTTAAAGTCATGGAGTGGAAGTGTAGCGATTGCTCTAAGCCTTTGTAAAAATATAAATTTAAAAATTTTTGTTTTTAATTGACCCCTTTTTACTTGCTTTTTTTTTCACATAGTTTTATAATATTTTTAAATTCATCAAAGGTTTTTCGTTTAATTTATTTATATAAATAATGATTCAGTATTCTAAAGTTATAATCAAGTAAAATATAATAACCTCCCCCCCCCCTCCAAAAAAAAAAGGGATTATCTAGTTCACAGGATTAAGTTATCACAATATTATACATATTGAACATAAAGATAAATAATAGAACATAGAGATAAATAAAAAATTAAATAAATAACTATTTAATTATTTTAAGGAAAGACATGCAAAACACAAGATATTAGTCTCAATAAGTTTACATATTTTGATACTGATGAAATAAAAAGCAAATTATGTTTATTTAATTAATTTTTTACTCTAAGGTTTACTATATTGTTTCAAATATTTTTTCCTATAGATTTTATAAAGTAACACTGTTTTTGTTAT